TTTTTAAATTTATACACTTTTTATTTAAATTTGAATTAGTTGAATGAATTGGTAATATTGGATATATTGCCTACTTTAAATTGCTATGCTAGTCTATGGCCATGCTACCCTGAACAAGCCTAATCCTATCTGATCTCAGAAGCTAAGCAGGGTTGGGCCTGGTAAATACTTGGATGGGAGACCACCTAGGAAGACCAGGTAGGCGTAAAAAATAAAAAAATAAGGGATTGTAAGATGACTAATAATAATAATAATAATAATAATAATAAAAAAAATAGAAAAATCGCCATGCTAAATTTATTAGCATTTTGTAATTATCAAAGTAATTTGATATAATAGCCTCACATTAATTAGATATGGAAACTTAATCACCTTAGGAAGTGATTTTTCTTCAGGATAGAACTCTCATGTCTTTTGTCCTGTGCCACGTGTGAAGGACCTAAATCCTCCTGTGAAGCCTCTGCCGTCTTGGTCTGCCTCAGTTCCGTCTCTCATCTGAATAAGATTCCACTGAGTGGAGAGACTTCCTCTTTGATATGGACGTGTTTATTCCCTTTTCTGGAACAATGGATTGAGAAACTAACTTTTGAAAATATAAGCCTGTCATATAAGAATAGTAAACTTTCTAATGGTCCTACAAAAATACTGAAACCATCTTTGGACCAGTCAAAATATTCTCACCTTTCAGCAATTCAACAGTTGTTTCTGGAGTACCTTGTAAGTTCAGCCCTGGGATATCAAAGATTAAATGTAAATAAATTCACAGTGCAGTGAGGAGTTCATCTGTTCCACTTACTGGCACAGACTCTAGGTCAAACTGTGATTCTTGAAAGGTTAAGGAATCCCAGTGAGAAGATTCTATGACAGGATTCCTGTTGGTTCTCAAAACCTCCTGCCATCAGGACAATCCTGTTGCCACCCAAAGTTCTTACGATGTTGTTTTAAAGCTTTACCTGGATGCCTACTTCTGGTGCCATTTTTACCTGAGGGAAAAATAAGCTTGACATCTGAATGTGTGGATTTGAGAATTTTCAAGAGATAATGCAGTTATAGTAATCACCTTCAAATGATCTTTTTAGATAATAAGGATTCCAAAATGCAAAACATAGAAATTATTGTTTTGAAGTATTTTCTTTCAATTCAAGAGAATGAAATAAATCTGAATTAAGGGCACTAAAAATAGTCACCAAGATTGGGTTTCTTAATGAAGTGTTTCTTAGTTATTGAAGTAATTTCTTTCTGAACACCTTGAAGCCGAGGTAGCTAGCACCTTTTAGAGTTGCATAACCAATACTGATATTCCCTCAAGTTTTTGAAAATGAAAGTGTTTTTATTTAAAACTTATCACAGTAAAGATATATGTGAGTCTGTTATCCTAATCAGTATTTCAAAGTAAGATTATACTTTAAAAGTACGAATTTTATGTGCCTATCTGTGCATGTGTTGATGGAAAAACAGCTTTTATCCCATCTGAAAAGGAATGATATAGTTTTAACATCCATAAAAAAAGTATCATGTAGTGAAACTAATTGCCTCAGTCAGAAATCTAAATGACTTTGTCCATTTAGAGAAGAGTGTTAGCACTTTCTGGCAACTGTAATTGTGATAACAGCCTAACAAAAATAGTTAATATTGCTCTTAAATTGCCTAATGTAACAATACACACTGCAGTGATATGTCATCTCATTTATCATGTTCTGTTGTGGTTTACTTGTCTCACAAAACTTTCAACTTGCTTTGAACACTTTTGTGTCAGGCATCAGCTACTGGCTAATTGTTTTCTACCATTCTGTTCTGATCACCACTTTTTAAAGTCCACTCCTCCTGCTGTTTCTTTGTCTTCATGCTGGTGCCTTGGCCGCCTGAGGCATTGAATTGAGCTGCTGAAGTTCAGCGAATTGGCCACTCAAAGCACTCACTATTCTCCACCTTTACCTATTATGTTCGGTCTAAACTACGGTAATTCTGTGATTTAACTAATTCCCTTGGCATGACTCTTGATTATACTAGATTCAGGTTGTTATTTATAGAAACATTTTGGTGATTTGCTTGAGAAAAAAGGTCCTTTTCAGGAATTCCACTTTTAAAAATTCTACTTAAGTTGTATTTTGTGAGCCTTAATCGTAATTTATAACTACTCATTTAGAGTATATTTTAGGAAACTGAAAGAAATTAACTTTCACAGTTGATCATTAGTAATGTTCACTACCTATAGATTAGAATAGACTAGGAAAATGTCACTAATAAATGAAAATACTTATATTTCTCAATGAACTACACGGCAGCAACTTGAAGAAAGAAATTCTGGGTTATTCATTTGGTGATTTGTCTGTGAAGAAGGCTTTGTCACCCAGTGCCCTAGACACAGGCAGTTTCGGAGATGCACGTCACTCTTGGACTCTTGTCTAGTCTCCTCTATGCTCTGGACTCTCATGGGAAGGATGGCACTGCCACACCCACTGACACCTCTCCTCTGATCACTTCCCACATTTGGTCAGATGGCTCTATTACCATCACTACAAGACTCCAGCTGCTAAACTGTTTTCTTACAGATATTCTAGGTGTCTGCTAGCGAATAGTTCATTACATCATATTGAGTGTAGGCAGTCCTAGAATCTTGGGTAAAGTTTGTAAGGCTTGTATCGCGTAATCCATGTGTTTTAGGGAGAATTACCAAATTTGTCATGTTATATGCATCGTTTTTCTTGGAAGCCTCCCTACTAACTTATTTCCATCCCTCTTTTTTCATGTTCCCTACACACACACACACCCACACACACACACACACACACACACACACACACACACACACACACACACAGACACGCCTGAAATTCATATCACATGTTAGGATGATCTGAGTTTCCTGGTACTATATATTTTCCAATCCTCATGTAAAAGTCAACTGTTTCATTTTACTACCACTTACTATTTGTTCTCCCTGTCACTAACGTAAAATTCATAACACAATGTATATTTGTATATAATAACATATAAATGTATGTACACGCTATGCTAAGATCATTTGTTCAGTGTAATGGCAGAAGTGCTACATTTTAAAAATAGGAAAAGTCTGTCATCTGTAGAACAACCATAGGGATCTAAAAATCTCAACAACAACATTAAAATCTATTCTTTTGAAGAAATTCTTTCTGATTTTAGAGAACTCCACATTTTAGCTTTTATAAAAAATGAGATATATTCTGAGGTTCTATAAAAGATATAGGTTCACATTTCTGAGTTTGCAGTAGTTTAAAATTTCAAAAAGGTCAGAAGCTTAAAGCATTGAGAGAGATTGAAAGAGAGAGAGAGAGACAGAGAGAGAGAGAGAGAGAGAGAGAAATGCACCCACGAGCGCAGGTGAGAGTGAGCACATATTGTGATTTCGTCCATTACATGGATCTGGGAAGACCCACATTTAAATGTAGGCAGAGAGCCCTGCCTCTGTAGGTTCTCCATGGTTAGAGTCAAAAGTAGGGTTGTCTGTTACTCTCAAAACCTTTGCTGACCTGGGTTCTGTACAGGTATCACTTAACGGACCTGTGCCTGCTCGTCCGAGTTCTGTGTCTGGAAGTGGAGATGCACACTTGCAGCTGGGAGTGGTTAGGAAGTTTAGAGCGTCCACTCACTTGAGTGGTGCTCTGGTGTCACTGTTGATCCGATCCAGTCTCAACACAGCTATGAGTTTCAGCTTCCAGACTGAAAGGCAGAGTAACCTGATGGAAAATGCATGAACTTCAGAACCAAGTTGAGGTTTAAATTGTGGCTTTTCCCCCTATTTGGCTGTGTGATTTTTGGCTTCTTTCTATGAGCCTCAGTTTCTTCATTTGTAAAATGCAGGGCAGTTATAAATGATAAATAGAATAATGCATCCAAAAGTTTCTGGAAAAGAATTAATGAATATTATCCTCTTTCTCCCCCTCCACCAATAAAGAGTACGGGAGTAGAGCTGTAACCTCTGCAACAGCTTCCTCTTCCTAGTTTGATTATATAAAACCTGGCCAACCATATTTTTGGACAAAGCTTTTGAAAATCATCTGTTCTATCCCCAGTCAGTTAGAGAACAAGCACCTAAAGAAATTCCAAGTTTGGAGAGGAGCTAAAAGAGAAAGAGTCTTCTCTGGGAGTTGTGTTAATTCCATGATTTCCTGTACAATACCCAGTGGTATATAGCTGACATGATGAGATTAAATTATTAAATTATTTTTTAAGTTTTCCTAACTCAGTGCGAACTTTTTCTTTCATCTCATCATATACAAAACCCAACTGGAGATTTTAAGAAGGTGATAGGTAATCAATATTTTTATTCACAGGTGATTTTCTCTTAGAAGCATTTGCCGTTATGTTGCTTTGAAATTTTTGCTAGCTTAAACAACAAGAATTAGATTGCCCAAAGGTTACGTAATCTATTGACTGCATGAGGGGTTATGGTACACATTAATTGAGCCAAAGATCTCTCATATTTTTAAAAATTCCCTTAGTTTGGATTATTTAGAGTAAGAGATATTTATTTTAAAAATTGACTTAAAGTATTATAGAAACAATGAAAAATTCAAAGATTCTGTGAGTTCTAAAACTAAAATTTCTGCCTGTTCTTTCTTAACTCTGTGCCATCTTTGAATACGTATCTCACAGTAATGGCCTGGGCTAGCAGACCCTCCCTTTAAGTAACCCATTTGTTAAGATCATGTGAGGTATATTTTACCTTTTGCCTTCTCTTTCTCCAATTTAATTCTAGAGCATACTAAAACCCTTGAGTCATTTTGGAGTTATATGCAACAGGCCACAGTATCAAGATTTCACATAAATAACAGAGTAAAAATATGAAGATATATGACTTTTTAAAACCACAAAATGAAGTTTGTCAGTAGCTAGGTATTGTTATATTCAGAAATAAATTGAAAAGATTTTCAGAACTAGTTTAAGTTTTAGTAGTGAAAATATTTACTTAAGAAAACAATTTTATAACTGTTTCCCTTTCTTCTTTTTTTCAATTTCAGGGTCAGGCTGGTCCTCGGGTAAGTGGACTCTTTTCTAACAAATTAATTCCGATTTAGGATTTTTCCAGTGTGGAGGTTTTTCTATAGTTCTTTTCAAAAGATCCAGAAAGCTATGAGCCAGTAATCATGACACCACACGGTAGACCAGATATTTCCCAGGAGTAAAGCTTTGGGGCCTCTTCGGGGTTGTATGAACCACATCAGCTGTTGGACCAGATGGCAAGTTTAACAATGTACTATCATATAAAGCAAAACCCTTAACTGATCTGAAACAGAGCCACAGGACTTTAATGTAAGACGAAATGACTTAGTAGATGTCTGGTATGAACTGGTTCGCATTAGGTACTGATTAATCATGTACTAATAATGTCGTTGTAAATCCACACAGGCTCTGATTATGTAGACTGCGATCCTACCAGCTACTTTTGATTCATTATAGGCAGATATTGAATTCGTTCTCTATTTTCAATATAAACCAACTGCTGCAGACATGATTCATAATTAAATGTAAACACAGTCAACAGAAAATCTTTTGAGCCCCCAATCATATTGAAGAAAATGAGGAAATTTTAGGAAGGGGAGGAATATGTATAGAGATAAAAGTGAAAAAGAAGGGACTGGTCAGAAATGAAGAGTCAGTTAAGAACAACAAATTAAATATTAATACTTATTGTAGTATGTAGGAAGCTGGAGAGAAAGAAATGCCGTTATTAACATTTTACCTTTAACGCCATAATGTCTGTAAATAACATAATTATTTCTTGAGTTCCCTTTACATCTCTTTCCCCTCAACATATTGAATGCTATTTCTTAGATTGTTTCATAAATAAACTATTTTCATGATATCTTTGTTAGTATCATACATTGTCTATAGTGTGCTAATTCTTATTCTAGACCATGGGAACAGTGTAGTTTTTATGAGCTCTGTATATTAAGGATGTCTAACAAATTAAATAAAAAACCCCACATACTTCAGTAGAGGAGTCTTTTTCATACTATACCCATGAGAAAAAGTTTGATCTGTAATTAATTTATGTTCATATCAGAGAATACTCTCATTATTTGTGATTTTCACTCAGATTCTTAGTTGGCGCAAGGTAATTATTGGAAAGAAAAAACCACAAAGAAAGTTGTAGCTTATTCCCTAAATTTGAAACTGTGTCATTATAATGGGATGAAGAAAAAGTAAAAGGTGTTCTGCAGGCTTTATTTTATTTTATTTTATGTTTACAACAGCCCTGGAAAATGTGTGTGTGTGTGTGTGTGTGTGTGTGTGTGTGTGTGTGTGTGTGTTTGTGTGTACAGAAGAGATAATTGACTCACCTGGAATGACACCATAAAACTGGGAGCAGAAGTCAAGTTTGTCTCTAAAATCCTCATACCCCCGCTAACTCTCAAAAGAAGAGAAAAGAAAAAGGTGAGGTAACAGATGATCAAAGAAATTAGAGCCTTGGTTTTAAGAGATTATAATCTTTAACATATTTAAAATTTTAATAGGACCTCTGTCTTAGCCTGCATCACCTCTCCCTACCCCAAGGAGTTCCTAAGATAAGGATTTGGGTATGCATAGATTATTTGGGACTTGATCCCAGGAAACATTGTGAGAGAGTGAGAATATGACACAGGAAGAGGAAGAAAACCAGAGACTGGATGCATTAATGA